CCTGCCTTTTTTTTTACTCAAAACTCCTGTCCTGCCTTTTTTTCAAATTTCATCCTAGCACCCCCCTCCCCATAAAAATCAAATGGTAGCTTACAAGATTTGGACATCGGTAAACTTTGGAATTTTGCCTATAATTTCCTGAGACGCCGGAGGTTTCAAAATAATATCTTAAAGGAGGTGGGTTGGTAAGAGCCATTTATATTTGGCCCCTGGAATTTCGAAACCTTTTGAAATTATGTTAGTCAATTGATATTTGAGTCTGATGATATAATGATAATCTGGTCTCTTCAGGATTATTAAATGAGTAGTTAATCAAAATGTGGCAAATATTCGCCATCTCTAGATCTTCCTGAATAAATCTATAGCGTTCGTTTTGTTATGAATTTAGCGCACCTATTATGTTTAGCAACAAGATTAACTAATATAGTTTATTGTTATGACAGTTGAACAGAGAATAAAATATCACAAGTTTGTGATGACATTTAAGTGCATCAAAAATGATGCCCCATCATATCTTACTAGCAAGTTTCATTATGTTTCAGACAGACATCCATACCCATTGAGAAATGCTGTTCAAGGAAACCTCATACTCCCTTAACCAAAAATAGAATTGTTCAAGCAATCTTTTATGTATTCTGGACCATTCTTGTGGAATAATTTGCCAATATCGTAAAGAAATATTACAAATGTTAATTCTTTCAAATACAAAATAACAGATCATTTATTGAAATCAACCTGTTGAAAAAAATATTGAATACTGATTATTTCATCATGTTTATTTTTTCATAACATTTTTATCAAGTTGTATTGAACATTATCATCATACTTGACTTTTATACTAATGTATGCCATGTATATGTTTGCATTTTTGTTTATACTTTTCTATGATGAGGGCCTCAGAAAAGATTAAATATATAGCTAACTGTGTAACCCTCTTAAAAAAAAGTATTGTTGTTGTTGTTGTTGTTGTTGTTGTTGTAATCAGCACTTTGTGATTAAGTTGTTTATGTTACTGTCTTTTCTTTCCAATTATCAAATTACAATTTGAAACTGTTTTACGTTTTAGTATAATTTAAACTGGAAACATTTCACATTTAAAGAATATTTCAAAAATGGTATGGATAACAAGAACATTTAAGGTTATTTTCTCTAAAAACAAATATAGATGATTGAGGATTTGTGATTTGGGGGGACTGTAAACAAAGGATATTTGACAATGGAATTTTAAGAATGACTTTTGAAGCAGTGACGTGAATAACGAACGATTGGTCTTTTTTTTTATATATCCCATTGATCTTTGAAAGAATAACACACTTATTTGTCTAGGTTTTTTTTAAAATTTCTAATCTAAATGAGTTGATAACGTGTCAACAAGACAGGTTACTTTATAGTGACTATAGTCAGTATCAAGTGAAATCACAGCTATATCACGAAATTATATTTATCACGCGTAATAACTTTTCACAATTGTTGCTGGTTTGAAATTATCAAAGTCAAAGTTGTGTGTAAATTATAAAAGATGATACAGTCGTGTTCATCTGCATGTAGGATTGATGTATCGTGGAGGGTTGTATAAGAAGAAATGAAACTTGACCAATTGAAAGACAAAATGATTTTCTACAATTCTATCCGAATTGTCAGCCCCTTTCTCCCTCCTTGCTCGCCACATTTCAGAACTGTTGTAATGGTTCTACCTCTTTCTAGACATGAATAATCCTGTTTTTTCTCTCGTCCACATTGCTACATTATAAGAACCAAACAAATGATTTTATACCACATCAAGTATATTCGTTAAAATTTCTGACAGGGATTGCAGTAATGCCATCTCCTGACACGCGTTTGATAGATCTGATTCTATTCTTTCTTCTTCATTTGTGAATAAATATTCCAACGGTGCATTGTCTTGAACGCGAAGTTATTTAGCGTGATAAGAAATAATCATTCTTTTATTCATATCCCTTTTCTTATGTTATATCTTGTTGTGACAGTTGCAATAATACAAATTCCCTAAGGTCAATATTTGTTTGAAATCCAATGGAGTGTTTCTTTTTTTATCATACAAATGTCATATTATCTTTAGAAACATATTTGTTCTTGAATGAACAAGATGCAAGATGGAGGAACATTTAAAATCATTTTAAAAATATAAGTATTCGACATTTTTTAAAAAGTAAATAATGGCCTTATCTGTTTTTCTTTATGTCTAGGAAAACATACCACACCATGACCAAAGGAAAACGACAAATAGACAGTCCACCAAAAACACCTACAGATTTAGCAACACGAACCGCACAAAAAGACCGGAAGTGCATTCTGGTTCTCTGGATGAGTAAGTAGTTCCTCCTCAACTACTGTCACCCGTTGTGTAATTCATGGGGAGTTAACTTCCGGTAACAAGTCGTATTCTGTGATGTCACAACCTAGGAAAGGAGGATGGAATTATAGCTACGACAAGTGAAACATATATATCAGCTGTCTTCTATCATCGAGATATTTCAGAATGATCAACCAAATCATGATGGCGTCCTAAATATTTTCGAAGGAATGAATACCAACTTTACCATTAAGAATCATATGCTGAATAGTTAGTGTCATGAGCGCGTCCAAAAGTTTGAAGGTCAACATCACGATTTTATTGGCCGTTATATAAATGTCTTTGGCAAATGATCATGGATGTTACATGTATAACATAAAAATACGAAGATGCGGTATGATTGCCAATGAGACGAGACAACTCTCCACCAGAGAACAAATCACACAGAAGTTAACAGCTACAGGTCACCATACGGTCTTCAACAATGAGCAAAACCCATACCGCATAGTCAGATGTAAAAGGCCCCGAAATGACAAATGTAAAACAATTCAAACGAGAAAACTAACTGCCTAATTTATGTACAAAATAATGAACGAAAAACATTTTATTTAATGTTTATTAAAGTGCAAATTCATCTTTTCTTATCGATGATGACTTACATGTATTTGTTATTTATCACTATATACATGCAGCCACCTAATGGGCTCATATATAGCACAGTAACTGTTAACACTTCCAGTTCAACTCAGATCATATGCCTGGTAAGAGTGTCAGATCAATCTTTAATTCTAGTAAGGACGAAGTTAACCCATAGCTATCCATATTGAAGACTGTTAAAAGTACAAACCTTAAAGTACAAATATCACCAAAGTCATTTTCTAACCAAAAACCAATTCAAATGATGCTAAAATACGCACGGCATTTAAAAATTCAAATTATATGGCATGTTTCCCTCTTAATACTCAAATTCCACCACGTTTTGTCAATTTTTGTCAGGAAAATTGACAAAACGTGGTGGAATTTGAGTATTAAAGAGTTAAACAGTCAACGGTTCCTATTATTTTTTCAAAGATAATTGGTCTAAATTTTACAAAATCGGTCATAACGCGCAGTATGCAACCAACCGCTTAGCAAAAGATATTAATTATTCAGAAATATATGTTTGTTTTATGTTAATCCCTCATAGAAAAATGTATACATATACCTATAAACGGTTATAAGATAATATTTTTTTGTCCTACAATTTACTTTTAAAGAAGGCAATAAGTATAGAATGTTCTACACATGTAGGGCAAAATTTTCCCTTGAATTTGTTTCACAGAAGGTTTATTTTCTCCAAAAAGTCTTTCAATAGTTGGAACAGTTGACAGTATTACAGCTTCCTTTGTGTACTTTATTCAGTTAAAACAATATTTCGCGTTACTGATAATATAACGAAATTAATCCACCATTTTCTGCAAAAGGAAAGGCCTGTACCAAGTCAGGAATATGACAGTTGCTTTCCGTTCGTTTGGTGTGATTGAGCTTTTGATTTTGCCATTTGAAAAAGGACATTCCGTTTTGAATTTTCCTTTAAGTTCGGTATTTTTGTTATTTTACTTTTTTTGAAATGCTTAACCATGTCTTAAAATTTCCATTTTGAAAGATTTCTGCAAATTTGACTTTAACAGCCATGTATAGCTCTGAAAAACATTTTGATTTGGTAGTTATGATTATATTTAATTGTTGAAAAACTTTGAAGAATACAGTCTTAAATCTTATATGTTCAAATTATATACCTAAACTTTGTCTCTTAAACTTTAGGATTTTGACCACGAAAGTGAATCTATTTCATGGCAAATTGGTAATTCATCATGTATATGTTTTAGTTAAATTTTGCTCGTTAGGATATACAGAACCAAAAGGAATAAATCTGCATTTTAAAGATCATTCATAGGGAAAAAAATAACAAAAGGGACTTTTCAAACCAAATATTCTTTTTTTTTTATTTTGTGAGAAAACTATTTTTTTTTTACAAAATCTATCAAACGTTGATCCCGAGCTCTTTTGAGTATTTATAATTTGATCGCATGTTAAGAAAAATTACAAAATTACAAGATGTTATCATAACCTCTGATGCAATTCTCTTGATGTTTAGAAATCAAACAAAATGTTACTGGAACGTTTGAATTGTAGTTAATATTCAAAGAAATTATCCTATATCAAATCAATAAAGGAAAACTTTCCCTATACCTCTTTTAAGAGCTATTTGTCTCCTTTACTCACTTGTTATAACTTTAACTATATAGATCAAGCAACTATTTTCTCATCCAGTGACAATATACATTATGTATAACCTATTGATGATGACACTAATACTAGGGATTTTAATAATTGTTGTTATCAAATGACAGCAGATGGAATGTGAATTAATATTTCAAAGTTCAAAGAAAGAATAGTGATTAATATGTTTTCCCAAATGACCATGTAATCAGTTTTCCAACATTTTCCTTAAATCTATGCAGTGTTCGTTAATAATACTTATGTAAAACCAATACTTAACACCGTTCTTATATTAATTGACTACACGATAACAGATCGATTTAATATAAATAAAACGAAAGGGATGTTTTCAACGTTTCAACAATGATCACCAGTGAATATATCGCAAGTTTAACCCTGAAAAGCCCCATTTAATTACAAGAATTGTACTAAGTTTCATCTCCCATTATTGCCATTTTATCGAGTAATTTTCTTAAATGGAAGTGTCCTCTTAATTCATCATCAGCAGTAAGAATGACATGGCCAAGAGCCACAAAAGGTTGTACAATTATCTGTGGTCACGTGGACAGATCGAACAGTCAATAGTGTATAACACGTTATGTTGGATGTTGCAAATCTTTATATGGTTTTAAAAACGATAATGAGAAAAGAGACAACAAGCTATTAATGATTGGTGACAAGTTGTAGAAATTAATTGTGATTAATGTCCTTAGGAGTTAATTTAAGCAACAATGTCGGGAGAGGAAACCGGGAGATACTTGTCTCCGAGTACTGCGGGGGTACACCATCATCACAGATCACGTTCAGTTAAAGGTAGACAAAGTTTTAGGGAGTCTGAAGAAAGTTTCGCTTATGAAAGAAAGAGGAGAAACAGTATGCCCTCGGTCAATAAAACACAGTTGTCGTCGTCGTACACAGATTTAGCCAAGGACAAGGATTACGATGAAAGTTTACGTCGTGTCCGATCATTTAAAACAACTTCGAAGGGTGCTTTAGTGAATAGAGGGGATAGTTTCAAGAGAAAAACGCAGAAAGAAAGACTGCTCACACTTGCTAATAAATCACGTGAGGATAATCTTAACAATGCTGGAAACAATAATCAACAAGTTACTGTAACGCTTAAAAGTTTTAACCCAGTGTATCGTGTAGTAATGTTAGGTCCAGCTGGAGTAGGTAAATCTTCATTGACCGATCAGTTTATGACGTCAGAATACATAGGACCCACTGACAATACAAGTAGTAAGTCAATTATTGTTTTCAAAATTGTTTACATTTTTTAACTTTTGAAACCCTCAACTGTAGATTTCATTACTATAAATATATATTGTTTAAGTATGACTGTCCAATTTTGAAAGTTTCAACCGTGTTATGCATTGAATCTAAGTGTGTAGAAATTATGAAATTGTTTTTTTAAATTTTAATGATTAAAGGAAAACAAATTAAAACTAAGCGAAAACAATTAAAAAGACAAGAACAAGCTGTATTGGAAGTTCAAAGGTAGATGTGTAAGTTAAATCCATATGATATTGATTAAGTTACAAAAGAGAAAACTTATTGTTTAAAACAGAAAAAAATGGGTTAAAACACGTTATATTACATGTATAAGCACATTTAATATCGATAGTTTTCACGTATATTTATACAAAAAATATTGTTTTCTTATCCTTTTTGTCTTTAAATTGAAAAGAAGTAATATTCCACATTCGTTTCATTCAATACCTGTAAGAATAAGAATAAGAATTTTATTAGTTTAAAATCCAAACAATAGGATTGTTACTAAAGAAAAACAAATAAATAACAAAACGATAGACAGAAAACAATACAAACATGTAGCATAATAAAATATCAATATTTATTATAATACTATTTTTGACAACATGCCTCCTCTATAAAGTTATCATTTCTAATATCTTGTAGATGAAGAAAATAACACTATTGTGTGCGTCCAATGCACTTTATGGATTTACTTTCATCAGGAACGCTCAACCACAAAAATTTGAAAACCAATTATGTATAAATTCTTGAATACTTGTTTAGCTATATGACCTAAAAAGGACCTAAAAATTATGTAAACTTTCCCGGAGGGAGTTGGAGCCTTACTTTTTATATAATAATCCTTAAATTTATCAACCGAGAATTTAAGAAAGAAGAAATGGTATGAGTGCCAATGAGACAACTCTCCATCCATGTCACAATTTGTAAAAGTAAACCATTATAGGTATTAATGCTGTACCCCAATTTTTGACATTTTGTACCTATTACGTCTGTTTCTTTTGCTCACACATTGTTGTCAATATAATGGAATACTAGAACTATGCGACTGTCATACAAGTGAGAGGTTTTAAATTAGCTAGCTATAAAACCAGGTTTAATCAACCATTTTCTACATATAGAAATGCCTGTAACAAGTCAGGAATATGACATTTGTTTTTCATTCGTTTGATGTGTTTGAGCTTTTGATTTTTCCATTTAGAATTTTCCTTGGATTTCCTTTTTGTTATTTTACTTTTTATAAATCATGGCAGTTTAAGCACTGGTGTGATGATATTCTTGGGGACTAGTAATCCACCAGCAGCCGTTTCGACCTAGAACTCTATAAGAATATAGAATAGGTTTTGTAGACGCTAATTGCGTTCAGTCATACAGAGTTTTGTTAATACTTAGAATTTCCTCCTGATAGATCATAAATATACTGATTATTGTTGATATCCCATTTTATACAATTAATACTAAGAAAATTGTGTACCTACAATTTAAAATTTGTATTACTTAAAAAACTGCGTATCAAATAAACTTGTTATTGGAGTACCTTTGGTTTTCCTAATTGAATATAAAAACTAATTTTTGACTTCTTTAAACTAGTACTGAGAAGTGTCTGCTGTTGGTCCATTGTACGGCTTAATGTTAGATCTTAAACAATACGCAGTCAATTTGATCCGACTGATCTCCCGGGTCAATTGTCCTGGTTTTTTTTATAACTTGTATGAAATATGTATTTGCCACTAATTTTATGCTTTAAATTTCGATCCCAAATGTAGAAGTCTAAATTAACATTTAAGCAGTGGTGTCAAAAGCTGGAAGTACGTTGGTAATGGTCAGATAATGACTATGTTTAACATGTGACGATTTACTATTTAACAAGTTTTGCTAGTTTCTTATTTTCAAATAAAAATATTTTCCTTGTGTTCCTACTTCCAAAAATGATATATTTGGCATTTGCAATTTGTATAGTTAAGGATTATTTGTTCAGGATAGAATTTCTCACGGCTGTGCAACTTCAAGATTCTTTTTTAGGCAGAATTATTAATCTATAATTTTTATATTAGGGCAGTTTCTTTTATTCCCACATTCAACTTACATTTATGCTTTGAGGTTGTCTTTAAAGTATCTTGATTATATTTGGTTTGCATTCATAATATTTTTTCTTTCTTTTGCCGACAAATAAAGAACATTGACGACTATGCGTCAGGAAATGTCATGCAAATATCTGATGGACGCACGCGTGAAGAGAATTTATCAAAAACCAAGAAAATGATAAAAAAACAGCATTTTTAAGGACAGTCTTATTTCTTGTAATTTAAAAATAAGGATTGATTGATTGGTCTTTTATTCCACTTTCAGCACTATTGATTGGCTGTTTCGTGGCGGTCAGTTTTTTTATTGGCGGACAAAGCCGGAGTGCTAGTAGAGAACCATCGACCTTCGGTAGGAAAACTTACAATCTTAGTCAATTAAGATTTGAGTCGAACGCACCTGCCACGTGCGGGATTCGAACTCACAACCCAGTGTGTTGACATGCTAGGGAAAAAGTAGTTTGACTACTCTGACTACTCGGCCACCGAGGTCCTTAAAATAATGAGACCAGTGACACAAATAGAGAACCACCGACTTTCGAAAGCGTGCCAATTAAGATCGGAGTCTTGCCGACAGCAGGGTACTTACTCACATCCACAATGTTGACAGGCTACTGATGTCTGTAGATAGACTACACCTTTTTAAGGTCAAAATGATCAATGATTTGTTAACAACGTCGTTAACAAATCATTGATTTGGTGTACGCTTTTAAAAAAACTTACCAGAATGCCTCAGATTATGAAATGGCGAAGTGCAACTATAAAAGTATTTTTCTTTTGTTATCTAATGCACACTCATGATTTCTTTTTCAGTGCGTTGGTTATTATCTGGAACCTTGCACAGTATGCGGAAGTTGATTTTTTTTTATTGTTCCCTTAATCTCGATAAACACTGCTAAACGTCACGTCCTAACAAATAAGAATGTCAATATTTGTCCAGTATAATTATATCCTGTACCTACTTTTCCACTGGGAGGTAATATTTCCAAGATTATTTGTTATTTAAACAATTTAATGCGCAAATTCAAAGTTGAACATGAGATGCATCTTACTGAGTATTTTACAAATGAAAGATTAAGTACTCTGGAGAAAATGTCTGACAAAGCACTCTGGTAACAACACACCAATTCGATTTAATGTTACATAAAACGAGTATAGGTTGTATTGTTTTTCTTTACCATGATGGTCATTACAGTGGCCACAAACCTTTAAATAAAAATATGTAATGACCACAAACCTTTAAATAAAAATATGTAATGACCACAAACCTTTAAATAAATAGAAATATGCAATGACCACAAACCTTTAAATAAAAATATGTAATGACCACAAACCTTTAAATAAATAGAAATATGCAATGACCACAAACCTTTAAATAGAAATATGTAATGACCACAAATCTTTAAATAAAAATATGTAATGACCACAAACCTTTAAATAAATAGAAATATGCAATGACCACAAACCTTTAAATAGAAATATGTAATGACCACAAACCTTTAAATAGAAATATGCAATGACCACAAACTTTAAATAAAAATATGTAATGACCACAAACCTTTAAATAAAAATATGTAATGACCACAAACCTTTAAATAAATAGAAATATGCAATGACCACAAACCTTTAAATAAAAATATGTAATGACCACAAATCTTTAAATAAAAATATGCAATGACCACAAACCTTTAAATAGAAATATGCAATGACCACAAACCTTTAAATAAAAATATGCAATGACCACAAACCTTTAAATAAATAGAAATATGCAATGACCACAAACCTTTAAATAGAAATATGCAATGACCACAAACCTTTAAATAGAAATATGTAATGACCACAAACCTTTAAATAAAAATATGTAATGACCACAAACCTTTAAATAAAAATATGTAATGACCACAAACCTTTAAATAAATAGAAATATGCAATGACCACAAACCTTTAAATAGAAATATGCAATGACCACAAACCTTTAAATAAAAATATGTAATGACCACAAACCTTTAAATAAAAATATGTAATGACCACAAACCTTTAAATGAAAATATGTAATGACCACAAACCTTTAAATAAATAGAAATATGCAATGACCACAAACCTTTAAATAAAAATATGTAATGACCACAAATCTTTAAATAAAAATATGCAATGACCACAAACCTTTAAATAGAAATATGCAATGACCACAAACCTTTAAATAAAAATATGCAATGACCACAAACCTTTAAATAAATAGAAATATGCAATGACCACAAACCTTTAAATAGAAATATGCAATGACCACAAACCTTTAAATAGAAATATGTAATGACCACAAACCTTTAAATAAAAATATGTAATGACCACAAACCTTTAAATAAAAATATGTAATGACCACAAACCTTTAAATAAATAGAAATATGCAATGACCACAAACCTTTAAATAGAAATATGCAATGACCACAAACCTTTAAATAAAAATATGTAATGACCACAAACCTTTAAATAAAAATATGTAATGACCACAAACCTTTAAATGAAAATATGTAATGACCACAAACCTTTAAATAAATAGAAATATGCAATGACCACAAACCTTTAAATAAAAATATGTAATGACCACAAACCTTTAAATAAATAGAAATATGCAATGACCACAAACCTTTAAATAAAAATATGTAATGACCACAAATCTTTAAATAAAAATATGCAATGACCACAAACCTTTAAATAGAAATATGCAATGACCACAAACCTTTAAATAAAAATATGCAATGACCACAAACCTTTAAATAAATAGAAATATGCAATGACCACAAACCTTTAAATAGAAATATGCAATGACCACAAACCTTTAAATAAAAATATGTAATGACCACAAACCTTTAAATAGAAATATGCAAT